AAGTTAGAAAGTGATGAGGTGGGATAATGTGGTGGAAACAAATATTCACTTAGAAATTAAGATATTTGGATAGAAGTCAATGGTTTTCCACTTGATACACATAAAACTTTAAGGACCTCTCTTACCCTCTCTGGACTTCATTTTCTTCAGCTTTCAGAACTGTCAGGCTTATGCCACAGGGTTATTCTAAAGATTTAATGAATGTGAAAACACTCCAGAATCTGTCAAGGATAACACACATGTAAAGAATGACCATTTTACATAGAAACAAAATGACAGTTGCACAAGGTTATAAAATGTGGCTTATAAACATTTTTAGTTTAAGTAATCTCTGCCTAAAATAAAGAACTCTAAAAGCAATCACATTGATTCTAATGGAAATCAGACAAAATTCATTAAATAGATTAATATAATCAATGTCTCCTTTTCACTGATATTGAGGATTTACTTTAGGCAGATGCTTCTGTTGTTCCTGAATGGAGACTAGAAGAGATAATGGAGTTTGTGATTTAGATAAGGGGAATAGTAGTCGCAATATTAATAATAGCTAACGTTTATTTTGCACCTACTATGTGCCAGGCCCTAAGTGCAAAGTGCTTTACAATTTTTAGCTCCTTTTATCCTCACAACAACCCTGGGAGATAGGTGCTATTATTATCCCCATTATACAGATGAGGAAATTGGGGTAGACAGAAGTTGTGTCTGGCTCAGGGTCACACACCTAATAAGTATCTGGATTTGAACTCCAATCTTCCTGATTCCAGACCCAATGCTCTGTCCACTATATTACCTAGCTGCCCAGATGTAAAGACCCAATAAAATTTCTAGATCTGTAGGTTTTATGTCATCTAATTATGTTAACTTTTTATAATATATTTTATTTATTTAACTAAATATTTCACAATTACATTTAAAAATTAATATCAATTTAAAAAAATGATTTCCCAATTTTCTTCCACTCCTTGAGAAGGCAAACAATATGTTAACTGGTTTGTTGTTTTTAAGCATCCTGGAAAATGAAGCAAATGATGTTGTAGATGTTGAGTCATGTCACTAGAAGACTTGAATTTAAATATAACCTCCCTCACTTATTGTGACTTGGTCAAGTAACAATCTCTTTGAGCCTGACTGTTTAGCTCTCAAATGAGGATAATTACAGATGCACCATATTTCCCATGTTAAGATTGTAAAACTAAAATGAGATCATAGATGTGAAAGCACTTTGTAACCCTAGAGTGCTATTATTAATATGAATTAAGCAAAAATTTCTGAAGTTTTTAATATATTCAAGACACACAAATGCAATTTATGATGTTGTCTGTGTCAGGAAGCTGTAAGTTCCCATTATTGAATATTTTCAAGAAGAGTTTGAAAAATCTGGGTTTGGGGATAGGTTTCATGTTTCAGGTAGAAATTGGGCTATTTTATGATTTTCAAATCCCCTCCAACGCTATTCTCTTCAATACCAGGGCAGAGGGGAAGGCAGCTAATGACAGCTACGGCAGTCAGCATCTTGGCCATGGTGACAGCATGTAGGAAGAGATTTAAGGAAAAGGAAGAACAAATGTCTCCCACTAGTAGTTACTAGATTTGTTGCTATCGTGGAACCTTTGGACAAATTTGTTGTCCGCAGAAAGTGATTGAATTTATCTTCTAAGGCAGAAGAAAATTATGACTGTTTTATTTATGTTACTTAGGAAAGTATTTGGACTTGGTGGTATTTCAGCATGTCTCCTCCAATATATTAGCCAATGAGGAGGTAGTCTTAAGGTCTGTGTGTTCTGTTGGCATTTTTCTTCCTATTAGGCATCTACATTCTGTATCTATGCATGGTACCTACTAATTGGCTACTTATCAGCCTACTGGTGCAGTTGAAGCAGTGAAAATAAAACCTTCCTAACAAAGCATAAGCTGCATTTTTTTATAAAGTAACACTCTAATATTCTACCCCAGAGGTGTCAACCACGTGGCCTACAGATCATACTTTGGCCTACAACAATCTTGAGTGTGGCTTAATGTAACTGGAAAATATTTAACGGAATAAAAATATAATAGAGCATGGATAATGTAAGTGGCTGGTTTTCTAAGTTATGCAGCCCACAGAGTTCCTTATGTATGATTTTGTGTCACCATTTCTTTTTAAACGGGGGCACTAATTGTTTGTAATTGCTTCTTCCTTGACCTTGACCTTGAGAGTCATCTCTGGAATCAGAAAGATCTGAGCTCTTACATTAGATTATGTTATATTAGATTAGACATGTTATATTAGACATGTTATAGCTGGAAGACTTTGAATAAGTCACTTAACCTCTCACATCTCCTGGAAAAATCTCTAAGACTATAAATAACAAAGAAGTTGCTGATCTATAGTTGTGGATGCAGTTTCCATGCTAGATGTTCCTTATATCACAGGACAAATGTTGCCTTATGTGATCCTTGCAATAACCATTGTTCTACTTCACCAAATTGAATGTGTTTGGGAACCCCAAACATCCATTGCTAATTCTTTAATAACTCAAAAAGATGTCACCTTGGAGAATAACAGAATTTTAGTTAGTAAATATAGACTGGTAGAGATTTTTTCCAGTAGGTGAGGCTTTCCTAGTGCCCCTCAAATCATCGTTATGTTTATATATGGCTTTTTTATGCATGACTATTTTTTTCAAATCAGTTTTATTTGTAAATTTGAAAAATAGTTTTATCTTTTGACACTTGACTGGTGGCAATGACAATATCCATTACCCACTTCACCGAAGTCAACAATTAGTGACAGAATTGGAAAATGACATGTTCATTTGGACAGTAGGTTGCCAAAGAGTGGCATCCATGGATTCTCAATTCCCATCACTCAGCACTGCATTCACATTGAGTCTCAGCGTAGTGGTAGAGGTAGTGATCATAGTGATGAAATGATTTGTAAGAAAAACAAGAGTTGGTTTGAAATTGAAGAAATAGGTTCATAATGAGCAGCATTAAGTTAATGCAAAGGTGAATGAGAGCCATCCTGAAGGTATGACTTTAATTTATTTACCAAGGCAGCACATTTTAAATGTGAATATTCACAATGAATATGGGTTACAAAGACTCATATAATTGAGATAAGTTCCCAGTAGTAAGTAGTGATTTCACTTGCCTTACACTGACCCCAAGTGGTTTCCTACATAAGAATATTGTCATTTCTAATCTCCAAAAACAATCTTAACATCACACACTACATACCACTAGTGGTATTTATCTCACCTCAGTGGGAAACACAATGCAGCCTAGCAGTAGTTTCCTCCATGATATCACATTTCTGTTCTGGAAGGACTGGTTAAATTAGTCTTAGTGGGATTTTCTTGTTTCTTATTACTGGCTTTCCTGTGGGTGTCTCATCTTAATAATGCATTGGTCACATAATACTTAAGTAATCTTTCAAAGTACCATCTTAAAAAAAATAAAAATCAAAGCAAGTTAGCTCACACTTCAGTATTCATTCACTCATTTTTTAATGTCAATAGATATTAATGATATTCAGGTTCTAGTGTCTTCTATCTAGCACATAGAAGAACGAAAATATTTCTATGTGAGACTATTTTATCTTCCCCACAGATCTGCAGCAGCTTCTTTACCACTTAGCCACGCTTATGAGACACACTGAGGAATAACCAATATGCTGGGTGATCAGCAGGCTCAAATGATGGACTGAATTTAATAAGACGCAATTTAATAGGGACCGGATGCTGAGCTGTTAACATGAGGAATATAATTAAAGCTTGTGGGTATTGCAAGGGAGTGACATAGTCCTGTATGAACAGTCTAATTCCCCAAAACAGCTGAGGCTTGCTTAAAATGTTGAGGCCCAAATTAAAAAAAAATCAAGGAGAGAGCTTCTTAGATATGATGCAGGCAAGAAGAATGAGGAAGATATAGTCTCTGCGCTTGTACGAGATGGAGCGATATTATATTAGAATAATGCAATGAAAAAAATTGCACCTCTCAGCTCCTTTTTGATACTGTTTAATTTTTTAGGAAAAGCAATCTTTAGATTGATAAAGATAGACCCAAACAAGTAACAAGAGATTACAACAGCATAAAAAGGGCTTATAAGTAATTTAGAAAGATGAAAGTTAATAAGACTAAATTCAAAGTCCTGCAGTTGGGTTCAGAAGATCGATTACACATGTGTAATATTTAGAGGCATAGCTCTCAATAAAGTTTATTGGGAAAAGGACATGGACATTTTATTGAACTGGAAAAAAACCCTCATATAGTCTCAAGATATGTTAATAGTCATAATACTTAGAACAGGAGGAGAAATCATTTTCATGTACTCCATGCATTCAGATCACATCAATAGTATTATGCCTCATTTAGAAAGGAAGATAGCAGCTAGGTGGCACAGTGGATAGAGCACCGGCGCTGAAGTCAGGAGGACCTGAGTTCAAATCCGGACTCAGGCCAAACACTTGACACTTACTAGCTGTGGGGGCAAGTCACTTAACCACCATTGCCTAAAACAAACAAACAAAAAACAAACCAAAACACACACACACACACACACACACACACACACACACACAACCAGA